GGGGGGGGGGGCGTAAATGTGGAGCATGGAGAACTCTTTCTCGTGCATTGCTTGCATGCGAAACTGCGCGTGAGTGAAGGGTTGCGCGGGTGCATGGATGGATGGAGCACGCGCGGCGGCCCACATATGCAGCGCATATATGCCTTTTTGCAAAATGTGGGAGGATCACGTGAAGCCTGAATCTTGAATTCTTGCAATGGCTTGGCTTGGCTTGGCTCACGCGCTGATGTTAAACCCCGAAATCGATCGTGAATCGTGCATTCAAAATTGTCGAAAGTTGTACCATCACCTACAATCGCATGCCAGAGCCCGGACCCCCACCCCCGCGAATAACCTAAAGTGCACTTTCACCACTCTGTCCCCCCCCGGCGGCCCCTCGCCGCACTCAAGAACGACTTCCGAACCAATCTAGCGGGGATCGAGGTGTGCCCCTCCCCTCCCTTCTTCCAACCCGCGCGCGCGCGCGTCTCTGTCCCCCCACCCACCCACACGCTGCTTCTCGATCTTTCATTCGACGCTGAACATGCACGGTATCAAACGATCCGCTTTTTCCCACTCCACCTCCGATTCCTCCGACTCCTCCTCCTCCTCTTCAGCTGCTGCTCGAGCCAAGAAGACGCGCGAAGCTGAGAAATTACGAGCTTACGCTGCGCTTGAAGAGTCGATCTTTTCTGCTCGGCGTCGTAAGAGAAGGAGTCGCGATGCAGGAGCAGGAGCAGGAGCAGGAGCAGGAGCAGGAGCAGACGCTGGAGCAGACGCTGGAGCAGATGCTGGAGCGGGAGCAGGAGCAGGGGAGGAAGATGAGGAGATGGAAATGTTGAAGAGGACGGGAGAGTTGTTGGGTTTGAATCCGGAGGTCTACACGGTTTGGAGCTTTAGGAGAGAGATCATGCAGAGGATGATCGGGGCGGCCAAGGTTGCGAATGGCGAGGGCGAGGAAATGGAGGAGGAGCGGGACTTTTTTGAGAGTTTGAAGCAGGGCTATGCTGAGGAGGCGGAGGAGCAGGAGCGGGAGCGGATGCAGGAGCAGGAGCAGGAGCAGGAGCATCGAGGTGTTGACGCTCTAGCTCAACCTTCAGCTTCACCTCGAGCATCACGCTCGCACTCGCACTCTCCCCACCTCGATGATCGCCAGCAGCAACAGCAGCAGCAGCAGCAGCATCATCAACATCAGCAGAGAGCAAGAGATGCGCGCGCAAGGCGACTGATAGGAGCAGATGTCGAATTGACGCAGCATGCGCTCAAAGCTCATCCCAAAGTGTATTGGATATGGAATCATCGAGCTTGGTGTCTTGAACATCTGCCTGTGGATGAGGATGAGGTGGTGGAAGAAGAGGGGCGTGTGGATAGGCAACGCTTGCAGAGTCCTCGCAAGTGGAAGAGGGAATTGAAATTGGTGGATGGCATGCTGCAGATGGATGGGAGGAATTGTGAGTTGCGCGCGCGCGCAGCCAGCCAGCCAGCGAGTCCCGAGAAAGGACGAGGAATTCAAACTTGCGATTTCCATTGCCCCCCCATTTCTCTCATTCGTTTCCGCTCCCCCTTTGCAGTTCACGGGTGGAATTATCGTCGGCAAATCCTTTCCAAACTGGCCATCCTCCCTCACCCCTCCCTCTCTCCTCCAGCCCGCTCATCATCTTTTCCCGATTCGCTCCACACGCTCTCGCATCTTCCACCAGCCTACGCCGCGCTCCACCTAGACTTGGCCGCTCAAGAATTGGCCTACACGCTCCGACATGTGGAGAAGGATTTCAGCAATTTCTCAGCTTGGCATCATAGGGGCATCATACTTTGCGGGTATTGGAAAGCGAAAGGATGGGATGTGGATAGGATTCGATCGGCTAGGGATGAGGGTAGGTAGAGATCAGCCGCGGGGGGCTAGCCTCGACAATCACGCTTACAGATTCTTTCCCTCTCCCCCCCCCCCCCCCCCCCCCCCCCCCCCCCCCCCCCCCCCCCCCCTCCCCCTTCCGGCAGAATTCGAATTGATCAAACAAGCAATGTATACGGATCCTTCCGACGAATCCATCTGGAATTATCATTCATGGCTCATCGATCAAGGTGCGTCACGTCGCGTCTCTACTTGCCGCTCGGACGATCACCCTCCCACGAGACGAGTGCTGCAATTGAACCTGATCCGATCTCACTCCACTCGACATCGACATCGACATCGAACATGGCACAGATGCATCCGTTCGCGTGCTCGAGAGGGAATGCGAGCAGATCGAAGAGCTACTAGAGCTGGAGCCTGATGCTCGGTGTGAGTGCAATGCAATGCGAGTCCCCCAACCCAAACCAAAGTCAAGTCCGTGCCCAGTGGTCAAGTTGATATGCCTTTCGACAATCTGAAGACGTTTGCTTCCACCCCCAAAACGTTCCCTCTTGCTCACCCTCCTCTGCTCCTCCGCCACCGACACCAACCTCAGACTGCATGAGAGCCTTGTCGCAGTACAATATCCTGCTCGCCGCCGCCTCCTCCTCCTCCTCCTCCAACTCCGACTCTGAAAAGCGCAAGGAAAGAGCCAAGCAGCTCTTGCGCAGACTTCAAATCGTCGACGCGCTGCGAAAGGAAGAGTACAAGGAGATGGAGCAGGAGATCTGATTCGCCGCTTCAAGAAAAGTATCACGATCCGGCAGGCTACGTTCGTCGACCTTTGCACCTATGCCGCACGTTTCCCTGTTGCCCTACATCGTCTCGGCAGGCAACTTGGACTGCCCCACCGCAATGCACAGCACCGCCACCTACAGGCATGAGAGCTACATCGACGCTCGCAGAATCGATTCGAATGTAATGTATCATGCAGACGATGAAGCTGTGACCGACATGGGGTCACCAGGTCCACGATGAGGCGCAAGTCTATTGCGCAGGAGCATTTCGCAAGTCTGTGGAAGCAGCGTCCGTCCAGCTTTTAGCATTGCGCAAATGACCTCTAGGCCACCATCGCACCCTCTCCCTCCAATCAAGACTCACCATCCGCCATGCGTTTCTGCGCGATCGTAGCCTTATCCTCTTCCTTCTTCTTCTTCGACTCCTCGACGCCGGCTTTCGTCGTTCCGGGCACCAATTGCAGCTCGTCTTCCAGCTCGCCCGCTGTAGCCGCCTCTTCATCCTCTTCCCCCTCCCCATCCCTCGCCTCGTCGATGATGAATGCTCCTTCTTCGCGTGAGACCAGCGCAGCTGCTGCAGCCTTGACGCGCTCTTCCGCCTCCGAAGCGAGCGCAGGCGTAGCGCCAGTAGGCGTTCTAGGTCGTCGAGATTGTGCTGCAGCAGCTGCGCTACTCTTTGCGCCTTTTGCGATCCTCACATTACCTGCACCACGACCATTCTGAGCATCAGCAAATCCCCTCTCCAACCTGTCCAATTCCGTCTTTGAAGCGTCGTTTTGCAATCCCACAAAGCTGGACTTTGGGCCTATCCTCGTCTCTCTGCCCGTCGCCTTTCCAACCCTATCCCCCACCTCTCCCAATAGACCGCCCAACAATCCTCGAACGCGCTTGGCAGTAGAGGATCCTCCTCCTCCGCCCGTCACCGCCACAGCTGCCAAAGTAGCCAACGCTTCTCGAGGCGTCTCTTGCACCCTCACTGCAGCCTCCAGCCTCATCGAGCCGGGCAAGTCTTGCGCGAAAAAGTGAGAGAGAATGTCGGATTGCGAAATGAGCTTTGTAAAGTCGGCGAGAGAAATGAGTGGATCATTGTCAAAGGTGTTTGACGCGTCCCTCGTGCTCGTCTTGCTGCTGCTGCTGCTGTTGATGCCGCTGCTGTTGATGCTGCGCGATGGAATAGCATCGACAGTCACACCGTCTCGTGCCAATTTGACCAGCTCCTTGCTTCTTCCACCAGCTGCATCCCACATCTCCTCTTCCAACTTCTCCAGTTGCCTTTGTGCTGCCATCCCAGCATCCTCGTTTGCGACATCCGTACCTTGTCTAATCAATTCCCACTTATCTTGTGCGCTCCATCCAGGTTCCTCGTCCACGCAGTACCTAGCAACATCTAGCAATCCCTCGTACGTATCTGGTCTTTCCGACCTTTCCAGCTCCAGCAGCGCGTTGAGCGTCTCGCGAGAGAGGCGCTGCAGGATGGGCGAGGTGGTGGGGAGGAGAAGCAGATGAGACAAGGTTGGAGTTAGAGAGCAAGAGTCGGACGTGGACGTGGACGTGGACGTGGATGTGAGCCACGAGGCATCTGCTTGCGCTAGAGATGAAGGAGGCAAGAGCGTGTGTTTCTGCATCGCGAACAGAGTAGCGCTTGAGGAGATGGGCTGATTGGACCTGAAATGAGTGGCCGGCCGTCGTGCGCTTATCTCGCGTGCAGGATGAAAGGTCAACCGCGGTAAGGGCTCGTTTGGGTGGCGTGTTCTCAATGAGATGCAAGTGGATCGACTCGTCGTAAAGATGACACTTGGGAGAACTCGCTGAGATGGTGGTGAAAGGGAGAGCACCTACAATGGCCGCTATGACTGACACTCGGTGAGCACCGCCATGGCATGCGGGCCGTGCAATTTCAAGCCGCGCGCCCGCATGACAGCGCCGATCTCGTCAAGTCACGTGATCCGTGTGTGCGCCCGCACTTTGTCCTGGCCTCACGCATGCGCGTCCCCCGCCTCGCTGCTTTCGAAACGTCTCGCATCGTGAATTCTAATGAAATTATGAGTGCAGGGACAGCAAACTTGGAGCACATTGCAGGACCGAAAGCTTCTACTGCACACCCAAATGCTTCTTGCTGTGCTCGTACACGACATAGGAGATGGATACGGCCGGTACCACTGCGAAGAGGGGAGAATAGGCGGGTGTGAGAGTGCTGCACAACCACATGCATGACCATGTCGCTCCCACTCACCCTTGGCCAACGTGGGCACCAGACCTCGGTAGAAGCCTTGAAAGCCTTCATTCTTGTACGTCTTCCGCGCCACGTCCAAGAAGCCGTCATAGCTGCGTATAATGAAGTAAGCCGTGAGCGATTTGCACCACGCTCGCGCGTACACGCAACCGACTCACGTCTGGGGATGAGCCGGCGTACCAGCTGCTTGCAGGCGTGTTCTTACCAGACTGAAAAAGAGGGCCGACACGGCGAGGTCAATGTCTCGTAGCACGCGACAAGCAGACTCGTGCCACTCACTTGAGGGGATACACTGTCGTAGCACCCACACTACCGCTGATGCTGCCAAAAGCGAGCAGGGCAAGCACGCTAGGTTCTTCCTTGCCGGTATACTTGATCCAAAACAGCTTGATGCCTTCAAATGTCGACATGTCAATGGCAGAGTAAGGGAAGACACCCACCAGACCAGCCCCGAGACCTCGGTAGTAGGTCCGCAAACCGCCATTCTTCCACATGTCCTTGGCCGTCGCTACCAACAGCGCATTGCCACGCAGCTGCAACGCCGACGACGCCCCTTGGCCAGACTGCGAAGACATCAAGCGCGTCTTGAGCGTCTCAACGGGGTAGATGGCTGCGAGGTGGTGTGCGGAGAATGTCGGCAGACGCAAAATTCGGCGCGCAACGCTGCAGACTCACCGAGTTGACTTGTGATACCGCCGATACCACCACTGATGAAGCGGCTGCTTCCACTGATATCCCTCGAGTCTGCCACCTCATCGACATACTTTGCAAAGGCGCGCTTCGACGTCTCGTAGCTCAGAAATTTAATCGCGGATTCCTGTTGCGGCGTGGGGGTTTGCCTCTCGTCAGCCAAAGACTCCAACGTCACTCCCAAGGCCGCCACTCACTGGAAAGATTTTGATGCAGTTCAGACCGTTGCCCACCCAAAACGACTTGAGTCCTCCACCCTGCACGTACAACGCCCGAATCGCCTCGTACATCAATCCAAAACTCCTCGTCGCAGTCTGCGCCGTCTTTTTCGCGACCGCCTCCGCAGTCTGCGCGTTCTTCGCGGCATCCGCAAGAGGCTGCCCTTGCGCTTGTTGGCGCGAAGTCGTAATGAGGTAGATTTTGAGCCTGTCGAACGGGGCTGTAGCTGTTCGCGACACTGCTCCAGCTATCCCACCAGCTAAGAGAAACTTGACGGCGACATCTCCATGGATCATGTCCGAATCCTCTTCCTCTTCTTCATCTTCCTCGTCGCCGTGCAGAGGCTGAGCTGTCGAGTCTGTCGTGGCATCCTGCATCGAGCTCTCGCTGCTCGCATCGGAGCCTTGCGCTGTTGCGCCGCTCTCGCCGCTCCTTGTCTCCTCCTTGCTCGCACCTTCGCCAGCCAGTCTCCTCCGTTCCTTTTCTTCCTCGCTCAAGGACACCTTGCCAAGATTGGTGCCCTTTTTGCGCTCTTCTCCAGCCATACTGACATCTCCGTCCAGATTCACAGACGTCGCTCCGTGCCTCTCCGTCTTGCCCCACTGCTCCGAAAACGAGGCAAAGATGCCCTGAGCTCCAAAGAGACCCCAGGCTTTTCTAACTTGGTAGAAGCGGTAGATCTGCATGCGATTGTGCGCAACGCCTCAGCCTGTGTGCGCGCGCACCAACAGAAACCTGCTCGCCGACTCACCTCTCCCACACTAGGTTTCCTCGGAAGCAGCAGCAGATAATCCCTGAATTGAGGAAAGCTGATCTTCGTCTGCGGCTGCACCACGCTCGCCGCCGCCTCGTTGCTGCTGCCATCCCCTCGAGCGCCGGTTGCGGGTGACGATGACGCGGTGGGCAATCTAGCGCTCGAGCTGGCCAAGCTCGCTATAAAGTCTTCCAGAGCTTCTGGAGCCAAATCTATGCCTGCTCTGTCTAGTGCAGTCCCAATCTCTGACGCGTCTAGCTGCATGTCTCCATTCTTGTCCAGCTCGATGAAGATGCGATACAGTTCTGTGAGGCGCGGCACCAGACATCAGCTCGTGTGCGTCATCGCAAAAGCAAGAAGAAGCCTTGCGCGCGCTTGCTCACCTCTCTCTTTTGACTCTGCATACCTCAAAAAGCCCTCCCATTCGATTTGCCTCTTTCTGCGTGCTCCATGTTCGTGGTCCTGTCCGCTCTGTCCCCTCTGTCGAATCTCTTGATCCAAGGAGCGATCCTTTTCCCTCTGCTTTGATCCAACAGCCGATAGACCCCACACACCCGATCCCACCCATCCCGCTTCTCCTTCGTGGTCTGCGCGCATGTCCGATTCGGAAGATGAGGAAGGGGAAGTGTTGCGCGAGGAAGCGTCGCTGGAGTCCATGCCGAGCAGCGATCCTATGGATCCCATGAGATTGTCAGTGTACGATTGCGAGCCCGCTGTGCTCGACGAGCGGCTGGATGAAGCCGATGAAGCGGACGAATCTTCGCTAGATTCGGAGCCTACAAAAGGGATCCAGCTGGTAGCGCTATCCAACCAGCCTCCTTCATCAGGACCATCGCCGCCTCGACTGACCCGCTTCTGCCTCTCCTTTTCCAATTCGGCTCTGCAAGCTCGACACTGACTCAAGAGCTCCTTGGCATAGCTCTGAGAAGGAGGTGTGACGTTTGGAGCAGAGTCGGAAGAAGAGGCGCTTCGTGCACTGCCGCTGCTGCTGCTCGCAGATGGCGAGGCAGGAGGGCCCCAAGCGGCAGTCTTTTCCTCTTGCGTATCTCCAAAGCTCGGACGATTCCTGTTGGGAGATCGACCAGCTGCGCTGTTGCTGCTCGTGGTGCCTCCTCCTCCTCCTCCGCTGCTGCCAGCACCGAGAGGATTTTCGCTGGCGAGACTGCCTCTGGCCCACGCTCCACCAGCGCCGTACCTCGCCCTCATGGCAGTCCTATGCCACTCTTCCTTTGCTCTTCCTCCAGCCAGCGCATCCTCATCATCATTATCCAGCAGTATATCAAAAAGTCCTCTCAATCTCAACAATCTTGCTTGAGGAGGTTCCTGAGATCTGAATTCTTCGTACGTGGGTATTCGTGCTGGCACTTGACCCGATAGCGCAGAGGAGGCTCGTTTGCCGCCAGTCTTGCGATGCTCGAAAGCCGAGCTTGCAGCTGAAGAGGCAGAAGAGGAGGGCGATATCCATGAGGACCATAAGCGAGAGGCGGCAGAAGTGGCTCCTCGATTGGAGGGAGCAGCGTTGCTTCCCGAGCTTTCTGCGCTAGCGCTCCCGTCTGCTTCCCTCGAGCTGGAGCTTGTAGTGGCAGCGCTCGCTGGCAAAGGCAGATCCTGCGTGGGCGTCTGAGCGCTACTGTTCGACATGTCTGCGACGCCGGGTCGGTGCGGATTACTTCTTTTGATTGCTATTACAAATCGTCCGCACCCGGCATGTCTAGGTCTATATTCTGGTGTTTGAGGAGCGAGCAGCTGCGACGTTTTCGACGGAAAAAGGAACGAGATGAGTCAATCGTTTGCCAGCAGCGAACAATGCTACGTCTAGTGAGTGAGTGCACTTTGATGAAATGCAATGGCGGTAGTCTGTACTGTTCGGTATGAGTTGCTTGGCTCGCTCGATGAGAAGCTCGCAGATCTCGATGTCCAAACGCACGCACGCGGGCGCGGAGCAGCAGCAGCAGCAGCAGCAGCGGTGCGGCAACGGTGCGGCTCCTCATCGGCGCATACGCGCGCGCAAGACGAGCCAGTCAGAAATCGCGCGTCAGAACCCGCGGCGCCAACTGCACAGCAGGACGCGTGCACGTGCTGCTTCATCATTGGCCCCAGCAGCAGCAGCATATGCAGCAATCCCATCTGCCAAATGCATGGGATGCGCGGCATACGTGCGCTGGCTGATTCACCATCTCGTTTCAAGGCTTGCACTCCTGCTCACAACCATCTATCTATTGTAATCATGCGCAATGTGGACATACGGGTGACCTAACGATGGGGGAACGACAAAAGAGAGGAGCGCGCGGTCGCCTACTTGAGAGCGGCGGCGATGCCGTTGAGAGTATGCGTGAGTGTCTGCAAGCCCTTCAGGTTACCCGCAACGACGGTCTGGAGCGTGGCGACATTGTAATTGATAGCCTGGACAAAGCTTCCGTTGAATCCGTCAATCTCGCCAACGATGTGGGCAAAGAGCTCGTCGGTGAGGCCGATGCGTGCAGGCGCGACGGCCATCAGTCCATAATCTGTTCGACCATGCTCGTCGCGCGCCACGGCTCTTTCCATCGTCAGACCTCGACGCAAGCAGACGTCGCACAGGTCCTCGATGGACAGACAGCCTCCTGCTGCAAGACTGCCGTATTCGCCTGCGGGAGCGTCGGTGAAGCAGAGTGGACCGGTCAGCAGCCTCGCAAGGAGATCCGAGAGCGATTCACCATCAACTCACCCAGCGAATGCCCAGCAAATGGCGCCTCGGGATCAATGAGTCCCCGCGACTTCATGTCGTTGAAGGCGCACACTTCGACCAGCACAATGCTGATCTGCGCAAAGGAAGTCATGAAGAGGAGCTGCGTGTGAAGAGAGGCAAGAAATCGTCAGTGGCTGCTCGTTATGTCGAGCTAGAATGTCGCAACTCACCCCATCAGGAGAGTCAAAGGTATAACTAGTGCTCGTGTTTGTAATCTCCGGAAACAGGGGTCTGCTGATCCCCTCTGGTCCCTCAAAGGACATGCCCATGAATTGCGATCGAATTCGGGCGCCGGCCACGCCTCCGAAATGGCAAGTGTGCGATTTGGGATTGTGTCTGACAATGTCCAGAACGCTGATGCCCATGGTGGTCTGTAGGTGGCGCTCTGCCCTGTCCCAAATCTGTTTGGCGACGGGCGAGCTGTCGTACAGATCCATGCCCATTCCGACGGCTTGCGATCCTTGGCCCGTAAAAGTGTACACCGTAGGAGGTTGGTCCATCATCGCTTCACCCTCTAGCACGCTCTCTCCGCGTTGATTGACGGCCGACACCTTGACAATCTTGCGGCCATCGTGCATGGCAATGTGGCGCAAGCTGACCTCGAGGGTGTCGCCAGGCAGGACCATGCCGGTAAAGTTGGCCGAGTAGGAACGGAAACGTTCCGGGTGCCCTTCTGCTGCCACTTCCTCCGTGATTCGTCGAACAGCTGCCGAAGAATGCATGCCGTGGGTAATCGTACCAGGAAGCCCGGCAAAGTCGGAAAAGTAGGGATTGGTGTGGATGGGATTGTAATCGCCGCTGGCAGCCGAATACGGCGCGTTGGTAGCGGGCGCAACAAACGTCGATGACTCGGCGCCGACTAGAAGCGAGTATCCACCGCCTTCCAAGGGAACAGGACCGAGCGTGCTGCCTCCCAGCCGCTTAATGTATTCGACGACAGGATTGCCGTAGCTGTAGAGGAGCGCAAATTAGCATGCAACCACGGAGCAATCAACCCTCTGACCCTCGACGCACCTCTTGCCCTCTGCAATGTATTCGATCCCACCCACGGAAATCAGTTTGCCGTCGACAATGTCGCGAATGTATGCGCCTCCTTCGACCTCGACCTCCTGGAAGGAAGACGCGTCGTTGCCAAACTTGACGTCCGACTTGACATGCAGCTCCAGCTTGAGTCCAGCTTTGAGTGGAGTGGTGCCGGTCCAAGTGAACCACTCCTTGCTCTGCAAGACGGCGGCATCCGATGCCGACTTGATTTCGACAATGTAGCGCTCTTCGCTCTTCTCAAACGTCGTGCCAAAGTCTGTAAATGCTCCGCGAAAGAAAAACGAGCTCTCGACATCGACGATTGGGTGCAACGTACCCGTCGCCTTGTCCTGCAACGAGACCGTGCCGAGCACGCTGACCGACTTGCCGGTGGGCGTGATGCGAATCGAACTGACGTATGCGCTCGAAGTGTACTTTTCTCCGATGCGCAGCACGTCTGCTCCAGCGTGGCGCTTGAAGCTGTTGCTGAGGTGCACAAGTCGCAGCAAGTCGGCGTCCACGGACATGGCAGCCTCCATGATGGGCGCCCATCCGATGATGATGGCCGCATCAAGAGGAGCACTGACTTGCTCGTGGTAAGCAGTATTATTAAGGCCAACGACGCGGCAAAACGTTGAAACGAGTTGCGCGTCGAGCAGCTGAGGCTCAGAAGTGTAGACCTCTTGCGCCGCTTGCGATGCTGCGCGTGGAGCAAGACCCCAGACGCCCCGGTACATGGTCTTGATGCGCTCGTTGCGTCCCGCCATAATTTCGTGGATTGGCGCAAATGCTTGTGATGGGACGTAGCGGAATTGAAGCTCCAGAGGTACGCTCTTTCCCTTCACTTGCTCAAAAATGAAGACCTTGATCAAGTCGGCGTCTCGAGAGACTTCAACACTCTTAAAGCTTGGGTCGTGGGGCCCGTACGAGCGGGCGGCTCCTCGCGCTATCAGTCCAAGTGGCCTGCCAGAGACTGGATCCATCGTGATCTCGACCTGCTGATTCTTGCGAGGTGCAAGGATGCGCGAAATCGGATTGTCCGCGTAGCTTTTGCCCTGCACGATGCTGACGCTCCGCAGCAGAGCTCTGAACCATCCAGCGGAGCGGCCAGCAAGCAACTCCAGCCAGTCATCTGACGGGGGAAGATTCGACCCTAGCTGATACGTCATGGAGCGACCGTCGGCGCCCTGGGTCGCCTTGATGTCGTGTTGCTTGAGCAAAGCAGCAGTGTTGAGAGCTGGAGGCTGAGGACCCAAATAGTCCACGGAGGGTACCTTGCTCTCGTCGCCGTCATAGTACCGTTGCAGCATTCTCGTTATGAGGCCTTGCTCCACATCGCCTAGCATCTCCTTGATGGGAACGTTAGCCTTGGTGGAGTGGCGAGCAGCCACTGGTCCTTGCAGGACTGAGGGAGAAAAGCGTGTCAGCTCGAAGCGTCGCGCGCCGCGTCGCCTGCCGCCGTGGATCACTCACTGAACACTCTTTGAGGATCACGATCAACCACGGCATCCAGGTCTTCGCTCTGCCAGAGCGAGTCTGGTGGGAGCAAAGGGGTCAGTGAAGGCGCGCGTTGGCAGTCGAGACGATGCAGACCCACCTTTCTTGAACCACGTCTTGAGATCAGAGTCGAGAATAGGAATGAATGGCACAGGCTTGGTTCCCCTTCGCCTGCACATTTCGATGAACAAGCTGACATCTTCAGCAGCCAGGATTGCCCTTTTGGCCCTTGGGTAGGCATCGAAGAATCTGTCCAACGCCGGCGTGCCCTCGTCCAATTCGATGTATGATTGTATGGCAGAAGTCTTTGGAGCGCTCGTGCCAGGATCCACCTTGACGAAGCGTTCCTCGGTCCTGCGCAACCAATCGCCCATGAGTAGGCGCCAAGATGAATCTATCCAGCCTCGGCCTGACAGGTAGGTGAGCTGCAACAAGCGCCTGGCCACTTCTTCGTACGTCATTTCTCCCAGCTCTTTCGCCACACTCCCGTCTGCATGCTGTGGAAAGTATGGCCGATGACTATCAGCATTCAGCCGCGTGATCAGATAGTCTCGGTTTGCTGCGATCCAAGCCGCTTGCTTTTCTTTTGACGAAGGCATTGTGACTGTGGGAGGCCCTTAGGGAGGGGGGCGATCGTGAAATGCAGTGGAACGAAGCGTCAGTGCAAGGGAAGCTGGTGTCAAGAGGTGTGCCAGGAGTTGTCGACTGCGAGGAATTTGCACAAGATGTGGGTGGTTGGAAGGAGAATGGAGCTCGTCTGTAGTCAGCACCATTGAGCAAACACTTGGCTACACACAGCGTCCGACCACCTCGACGTTCACGCCGCGTGCGATTCATTAGAATCGCGAATCCTCGCGGGCGAGGGGCATGGCGGAGACTCTCCATTTGTTGAGCGAGCCGGGCCGGGCCGAGCGAGCGGGGCGGGACGTTCAGCTTATTGCTTCGCGCATCACTCAGACTCTTGACTGCTGCGACCGAATGAAGATCAATCAAGAATCGAGGGCCTCGCGCTCGCACCTCGATCGATCGTCTTTCTCAATCGCAATCGCACCAGGATATGATGAGTGATGGGGCAAAATGAGACATCCATAGCGCGGCGCGGTGAGGCGCGGCGCGGCGCGGCGCGCACCCTCTCTTCACCCCGCGGCGATTCATTGACCAAATCCTAACTTTTGGCTTTGGCTTGCCTGCTGCTGGGCAAAATGACTCAAAAAGGCCCGTGCCCGTGCTCAGCCCGCGCCGTAGCGCGACGCATATATGCGCAGAATCACGAATCAAATCGATGGCGCGCGTACTTGGGCGCACGCGCACGCGGTTGCGCGTGCCGTGCCGTGCCATGGGTGGCTTTGATCGCCCGCGCGGGGCATATCCCCAAGACCCCAACCTCGCGCGCGCATCGCGTCGCGCGTTGGAAATTTCCGGATTTTGGGGGTCCAAGAGGTGCGGGAGCGCGGGGGTGGGTAATGTGTGGCTGCTGCTGCTGGAGGCAGGGGTGATGCGTGCTCACCCATGGACTCACGACTCAGACTGCCATCATCAACGGCTGGGCAGCAGGGGTCCAATCATTCATTCAAGATTTTGATTCATTTCATCAAATTTCGCAGTCACGAGTCAAGCCGCCCCGAAAGCCATGCACGAGTGTTGCGTGTCGGTGCAACAGCGCAAGTGATTGCTATACTGTAGGAGGCTACGCGTTGGCAGCTGGGGTGACGCTCAGGAAAGCTCGATGAGCATGGCGCTGTTGCCCACTCGTGACTCATGTCTTGAGAGACGTTGCGTCGTGCACAGTCACATTTCGTTAGGAAGCGCCTTGCTCACCCAAAACGATCACATGCGCGCTTCATCCTCCCGCTCACATCTAGCCTCGTCCAACTGACCCTTTCTCCATCAGCAGCAGGTCAGACTCGCTCTCCTCGGACTGCCCTGCCTTACGCGTGCTTCACCTCGCTCCGACCAAGAAGCACATCATGTCGATCCTTCAAAAAGCAGATCCATCCGTCTTGCGTGACAAGCTGCGCGAGATCATCGCCGAGGCTGACAAAAAGGCATCCTCCGAGGCAGCAGCGGGCAGGATCGAGCTCAAGAGGGGCTACTGCACCATTCCGCTGCCCGGCATCGATGTGCCCTTTCACTCTCGCGTCCTGAATGGAGGTGTGCCAGAATTTCACGCCTTCTTGTCCAAGAGGGTGGGAGACATCAATCCCGATGCGCTCATCAACAAGTACATTCCAAACCTCGTAGCCAAGCCGTTCCAAGTGAGTGAGCAGGCGTAGCCCTCAGACGCTCTGCATCCGCGACGACTGATCTCGCGCTCTTGCTGCTGCTGCTGCTGCCCCTCGTCGCAGCTCACGAAAGAGTATGCGCAACTCATTCTCGACACGACAGGATCGCCTAGACTGGAAAAGATGCTGCAAAATTGGGACAAGGATGGCTGGGGTACCGTCGAGAAGCGCCAGCGCCTCGCCAAGGAGCTCTTGCTGTTGCTCCTGAGTCATCAATTCGCCAGTCCCGTCAGGTGGTCGGTATTCGAGTGGCACACCGCGTCCCGATCGTCGCCGAGCTCACTCCGTATCTCTCTTCCAGGATCGAAACGCAAGACGTCTTTTTCAACGAGCCTTACTCCTTTGAGCGCCTCGTCGAGTTTGGCCCTGCACCCACGCTCAAAGGAATGGCACAAAAGACGGCAGGTCTGAGTGAGTGGCATGCGCCGTGTCTGTTGGTGACTCCGCCTGCTGCTCCGCGCTGAGATATTGCCCCTTTCACGCAGAATACGCCGCTGCTGACCAAGCCAAGGGCAAGCGCCGAGCCATGTTTTGCCATAGCAGCGACAGGGACAAGATCTACTACAACTTTGCCGACGCTGAAGCTGATGCCGTCGAAACCACTCCGGCTGGACCCTCAGCGGGTGCTACTACTCCTGCTGCTGCTCCAGCGCCGGCTGTCGCGGCTCCTTCCCCTGCCCCTGCCCCTGCCCCTGCTGCAGCGCCAGCCAGTGCAGCCGCAGAAGTTCCAGACGAGCCATTGAAAGCGGTGGACACTCTGCGAGTCATCCTGGCCCAAAAACTTAAAAAGCAACTTTCGGACATTCCCCTCTCCAAAGCCATCAAGGACCTCGTCGGCGGCAAGTCCACTTTGCAAAACGAGCTCGTGGCTAGTCTCGGCGAGGAGTTTTCCAGCCTCCCTGAACGAGGCGAGGAGCTCCCGCTCGACGAATTGGGCGGAGCCCTGGGCGCTGGCTACAGTGGGACGATGGGCAAGTACACATCCGGTCTCGTCTCCCGCATGGTCGGCGGCAAGCTTCCCGGAGGCTTCAACCTCGCAAGCGCCAAGTCGCACCTTCAGAAAGCGTGGGGATTGGGTCCTGGTCGAACGGATGCTGTCCTCCTCGTCTCGCTCACGCAAGAACCTCCCAAACGCCTGGGTTCCGAAGCGGAAGCAAAGGCGTTCCTCGACACTGCAGCCCAAACCTACGCTCAGCATGCCGGTATCACTCTTAGCCAAGGCGGTGGCAGTGCTGGCAGCTCCGGTGGAGGCGGTGGCGGGGCTACGATCAGCGCTGAAGAGCTCGAAAAGATCCAAGGCCGTCACGACGAGCACGCTCGCCGTCAAATCGAAATCCTCCAGCGCTATCTCGGTGTGGATGGTCGTGCTGGTCAACGCGTCGCAGAGAGCACCCGTTTGGAAGTCAAAGCTTTGCAAGATCAGCTGGACGCCATTTCTCGAGAGCACGGCGAAGAGTACATCAACATGATTCGTCCCAAATTCGACCCGCTCAAAGCTCGCCACTTTGCAAGCTTTTGGAATTGGTCCAGGCAAGACGCCCAGCACCTCTGGTACGACATCATCAGTGGGCGTCTCACGACCGTCGATCGTGAAATCACGCAGCGTTGTCTCAACATCATCTCGCGCGCCGACGACACGCTCCTTCACCTCATGGCGTACACCATCGAGCGCGTGGATCCCGAGCTGGGTCCCACGTACGCGCTCGCCAAGCAGTTTGGTCAAATGCTGCTGGAAAACTGTCGCGAGGCATTGCCAAGCCCGCCCATCTACAAGGAAGTGTACGCTCCCACCGCTCCACACACCGAAATCGGAGCTAAGGGCGAAGTCATCTACAGCGAGGTCAAGCGCGAACGCGTTCGCAAGCTGGAGGCGTACGTAGAAGAGATGGCGCACGGAAAGCGTGTCGGCCCGCAGGTCAACGTAGAGCTGGCAAGAGAGCAAATGGCCAAGCTCTGGACGCTCATCAGAAACGAGCCTAGCTTTACCAAGGTCGGCAAAACGACCATCAAGAGCATGTACACCGAAGTCGTGCGCTCGCTCGGACCTGCTGGCCGCCATCCCCGCATTCGCGGTTCGAGCAGCCGTCGCCAATCATCTTCCGTCGCCCACGGCTCCCGTCCTACCGTCACGCCCGAGCCATTCAGCCTCGCTGATGACCGCGTCCCATACCTAAATGTCAAGCGCAAGGTTGGAGGAGAATGGCAGACCAGCAAGCAGCTCACAGGCGTCTACATGACGCTCCTCGAGGACATGGCCAAGAATGGAGTCACATTCCAGGGACAAAATGCTCTGCTGACGGGTGTCGGCAAGGGTTCCATCGCGCTCGAAGTCGCGAAAGGATTGCTGGCAGGTGGCGCTCGAGTCATCATCACCACCTCGTCCTACTCTCGCGCCACTCTAGACTTTTACAAGGAAATCTTTCAAAAGGTCGGTGCGCGAGGCTCTCAGCTCACCGTTGTGCCATTCAACGGCGCAAGCAAAGAAGACGTCAACAGCCTAGTCACCTACATTTACGAGTCTTTGCGCGTCGACCTCGACATTCTCATTCCATTTGCCGCCATTCCAGCGTACGGACGGGATGTGTCGGCCATCGACGATCGTGCAGAAGTCGCTTTCCGCGCCATGATGACGAACGTGCACCGCTTGCTCGGAGCTGTGCGCTCCGTCAAGGCGGCAAAACGCATCAACACCAGACCGACCGTCGTCCTCTTACCCTTGAGTCCCAATCATGGCTCCATGGGAGGAGACGGTCTCTACTCCGAGTCCAAGATAGGCCTCGAAACGCTCTCAAACCGCGCGATCAGCGAAGGTTGGGCGGAGTACGTGTCCATCGTCGGCGTCGTCATTGGTTGGTGTCGCGGTACGGGACTGATGGATGCCAACAACCAAATCGCGGCCAAGATCGAGGCTGCGGGCCTGCGCACATTCAGCAGCACGGAAATGTCGTTCAACCTGCTAGGATGTCTCCACCCCCTGTTCAGAGCGACGGCTCAGGTGGAGCCTATCCTTGCCGACCTGTCTGGAGGCTTCAACAGCGTGCCGGATCTGGCCAAGCTCAGCACGAGGATCAGGACGGACATCGCGAATGAGAGCGCTCGTCGTCGTGCGATTGCAGCCGACGATGCTGCCGACTACCTCGTCATCAAGGGTTCTGCAGCCGAGAAGCTCCACCAGACGCGCCTCGTTCAAGCTCGCGCTCAACACTCTTTCGGCTTTCCGGCTCTTGGACCGTGGAGACCGGACGCTCTTGCCATGCTTCGTGCCCTTCCGGCTCGCGTTTGAACATCGCTTGTACTTGATCGCTCTCTCTCTCCATTCAGATGTTCTTTGTCAAGAGACTACGTTCCGCTCGATGTGAATCGACGTAATGTCTGCCCGCGTGACATGCAGTGAGACGGCGATTCGCTAATTGAAGTGGGCAAGGCCGACGGGGTGCCTTGCTGCGTGCACTACGTCGCCGGGAGACGACGATGAGGGCATCCAAAGACGTGTTGAATGCCCTCATCAAGGTCTAGCGCCGAACTGCGCAGCGGGGGCCTCGAATTCATGTACTACTTTTTGACGGGCTAAACTGTGCTTGGGTCGATATAGTCTAGTCGGGTTGGCCTCCTTCTAAGATTTCTCCTTTGAGCGCAGTGTGCGTACGTTTGGATGCCGCCGGTAGAGTCGTTTCGAATCCCATTGATGGTGCCTTACGGCCTCACTTTTGCTGCGCGTGCGTGCGTGCGTGCGTCGCGCGCGAGCGCGCGCGCAAAGCAACGCCAATCACGTGACATTCAACCCTCACCCTTTGCGTCGGCGCGCTGCCCTCCGACTCGCATGGCCAGCCACCATACATACAGGCTTCCTCTGTGATCCAAGGCTGGATCGGACATCATGAACATTACCAGACGAGGGGATCGAACCCTGAGTCATGGCTTATTGAACCGGCAGGGACAAGCTATAGTTCGCCGCAGAGACGAGCATGGGTGCGCGCGCGGGCGCACTGTGCGCACTGCATGCGCGGCACGTGTGATTGCTGGCCGCCCGCCTCGCGTCCGAATGTCACGGTCCGCCCCGCGGAGGATGCACCTACACGTGATGTTAGTAGTTGCATGCATGCGACTTGACGCGGTGCATGAGAGGAAATGGTCGCGCGCATGCACGTCCCTACTACCATCACGCGACGGGGCATCCTCCGCGAGCGGGGCCGTGACATTCGGACGCGAGGCGGCCAG